TAAACTAACGTAAGTACGTAACGTACAGTTACAAATTTTTGAAGTTGTAACTGTAAACTAAACCCGCTGGGAAATCGGCTAGCGAATAGCTAGCTATAATCGTTACGATAAAGACAGCGATTTGGCCACGAGGATCGCTAGCTTTTTTAAGTTAGCGAAAAGCTATCGATATTTTTAAAGATTAAGACAGCGTTTTGGCTATGAGGACAGCTAGCTTAATAAGCTGAAGATCCACTGGCTATTGTACCTAGCGTCATATCGTAATAAAATCGTTGTCTAAAAAACTTTGATATGTAGCTACCAACCAGCTATAGATTTGTAGATATTTTGTAGCTAGCTACAAAGCTACGATATGTAGCAAGCGACACATTGCTGCAAATTCGCAATGTTTAAAGTTCAATTATTTTCAAAATAATATTAGACTCACCACTAAAAATCGAATTTTTAAAGATGTTAAAGACATTTGCAAAAAATAAAATAAGAAAAAAAAAATCGCTTCAAAATCGCTATAGAGCTAGCTAGTCGCTAGCTAGTAGCTAGCTCATTTCCCACCGGGAAGTATATAGTAGATCATCGTTCCTACTTGTGTTAGAAGCATGTGCCGAGAAATTTTTAGATCTGATAAAATAAAGATGGCCCGGCGACCGCGGACACTTTGAATATAAGAGATCATGTACACATTTGGTCACAGATTTGGGCACTGTTTTTCGATGAAGTTAAAACTCTAACTTAACTTTTTGTTTAATTAAAGACTCTACGAGGGAAAACTTGTAATCCTTTTTTTTTTTGCTTAGAAATTATATTTAGCGTTACGTAATTTATAGTCTTGCTTAAACATTTTGCTTCAAATAAACCTATGTGTAAAATTAAAACAATAAAACAACAACAATAACAATATATTCTGAAATAATAGTTTACATTTCATGGTAGTTTACTAATAGTACGAGTACTAATCAAAGGTAAACACCAATTAAATAATAATAGCAATCATATAATAATAATAATAATAATGATAAAAGCAATAATAATAATAGCAATAATAATAATAGTAATAATAATAGCAATAATAGCAATTGTAATAATAATAATAATAATAATAATAGCAATAATAACAATAATAATAATGTAAATTAAACGAAGACGATTATAATAATACCAATAATACTATTAAATATAATAATGACAATAACAATGATTATATCAGTATTTATAATAACAAAAGCAATAATAGTAATAATAATAATAGTAATGAAGTTAACAACAATAGTAACAACAATAATAATATTAACAAATATCACATTCATATACTAAACAATTCCAATAAGTAATAATGGCGGTAATAAAAATGCAATTAAAATGTAAGTAATATTAACATCACATATAATAATAATACTAATAACAATAGTAATAATAATCTATTATAAGCCTAAGATTTTAATTTGCGTATTTTTCTATCAAAAAGTCAAAAAGACGGGTTTTAAATTGTGAAAAAGTGTTGAGGGATTGAAAATGAAAAGGTAAATTATTCCATGATTTTACGCATTGGTTTGTAATAGAATTATCACCGTATTTTACCGAACAGCGATTTGGGATAGATAATTTAAAGTTACTCAAAGATCGAAGGTAATAACGAGAACTTTTTTTAGTGGTAAAAAAATTGGAGAATGACGGAGGGAGGTTTACTTATTTATGATTCCAGACAAATAGACAATTTAATAGATAAACAAGATCACATAATTTGAGTATTTTTGATAGAAAGTAAAGGATGTCAGAGATAGAATGATACTGTTGAAAGAATATTATTTTTAAAGCTTTGTTTTGTAGGTTACATAACCTTAAAAAAGCATTAGACTTGCATTGTCCCCAAACCTGACAAGCGTATCTAAGATGAGATCCAAAAATTGCATGGTATATATTAAGTAGTGTTTCATAATTGACATAGTGGCGAATTTTGGCTAGCATCCCATTTGATCTACACAATTTTACTGCTAAGTTTTTAAGATGAGAGGAAAAGGATAGATCTGAGTCAATTTGGATTCCAAGATATTTTAATGAAAGTAAGGGAAAAATTTTTTGTCCACTTAGTCTAAAGTTTAGGTTTTTACACATTTTAGATTGATTAGATTTGAAAATAATGAGTTTAGTTTTGTTGGTATTAAGACTTAGTTTGTTAGAGCGCAGCCATTGAAGAAGGTTAGATAAATCATGGTTAATATGTTTGTTAATTTTTTTTAATGATTTGTTAGTTATGAGTAAGTTGGTGTCGTCAGCAAAATGGTAAGCCGTTGAAAATTTTAGAGAGATATTAAGATCATTTATAAAAATAAGGAAAAGCAGTGGTCCTAATACAGAACCTTGGGGTACACCAGTGGAGCATTTTATTGGAAAAGATTTGGCATCATTAATGGAGACAAATTGCGATCTATTAAAAAGATATGATGAAAACCATTGGAGAGTGTTACCTCGAACACCGTAGTGTTCCAATTTTTTTAAGAGGATGGAGTGATCAACAGAATCAAAGGCTTTCTCTAAGTCAAGAAATATATGTAAAGTTAAACACGTTTGCTTCAAATAAACCTATGTGTAAAAAAATTATATGATTATATAAAGAAACTATTGCAATTTTATTTATTTTAATTTTTTTTTTTATAAACTTTTTTTTTGCGTTTTTGTATAATTATATATTATGTGTAAAATATATAGAATCTGACAATGCGTAAAAGAGTTTTTTGAAAAAACGACGCGTGCGCAACTATATACTTTTAAAACAATTAAAAACAAAGGATGTCTTATTTTGTGTGGTCTCATAATGTAATGTAATTTCATTGGTTAGCTTTTTTGAACAAACTTAAATGTTAAAATATTATTTTGTAGTAGTAGTTGTTGTATTACTTTTAATTCTCATGAAAGCAACAGCTTATAATTTATACGTTTGATATTCATCAATATTTTATATCATATTTTAGCTCAGTTACTGATCTAAACCTAACGAGAAATTAAATCAAGAAACTAAAAGCCATAATTTAGTGTTTTTAGCGGTAATATTTATTTTAAATGGTCATTATTTTTTCTTTCAATCCTATAATCATGTTTACATATTTCTGTATTTATACAATTTTAATAGGGATGTAACGAAGCTTTGGCTTCAGCTTCGGCATGCCGAGGCCTCGGCACTTTTGCCGAAGCTTCGACTTCGGCCGAAGCCAGGGTCAGTTTTTGCCGAAGCATTGGCTTCGGCAAGTTTTTTTAGATAATTAAAGGTAATATGCTACTTAAAATAATTTTATTGCTTACAACATAATTACTATTATTCTACTACTTGTAATTCACGGTCGTTTAGATATTAGTAAAAAGCGCTATGTTTAGGTACGCGAGCGTAATAGGCTGTTCACACGAGGGTACATTTGATGAAACATTCCGTGGAACATGGAACATGAACAAATATCCTCTCGTGTGAACGCAAATGGAACAAATATTCAAGGAACATTTGAGGAACTTTTGTACCGTCCCGCCAACCCAGAACAAATAAATGTTCCGGAACATTTATTTGGTTTTGTATAAAAAATGGTGCCTATTTTCAACTATTTTTAAAATATACGTATGCATATAAGCTAAATGATTCAATAAAAATGCATTGCAAGATGCAAATTTGTTGTGAAAGTAACTTAAACTATTTTTTTTACAAAGTTGTTGTCATCTTAACCAGAGTTTTTAGTCCTTGGTCATATATCAAGACAAGATTATCGATATACTATTTGCCTTTCAACATGTTGCCTTGAAACTTTTAGTTTTTGCCTTCCATCTTTTTTATTGAATTCAATATAATACAATGAAATTATATTCTTCGAATATAATTTCATATCTTTATTCATTGAGTAAAAACTTGTGGTAATTTCATGCAACCAAGGAAATTCCGATCCCACTCGTGTGGGATCAATCATGAGTAGACCAGATGGTGGGCAATTATTTAAAAACAATTATTTGACCATCACAAATTTCAAGTTATTTCTAACGATATTAAAAATTTGTATAAATAGAATAGAAATTTAATTATTAGTGTATTATTAAATTAAAAAAAAGTTATATATGTGTGTTTAAAAACTTAATCTTAAAATATAACATTACAAAGATAGTATTATTCTTATTAAGATCAGTTTTAATTTGAATTAACATTTAACTTGCGTTAAGAAAGTTTAATTTTCATTGTTTAACAGTTTTTGTTTAATTATATTTCTTTGTAAGCATTGTTATTAATACATTTTTAATAAACTTATAGTAATTTTATTTATAAAATTCAACTTTGAACTAAGCATAGTTGTTTATCATTGGCCTTGCCAACAGTGATAATAATAATAAAAATAATTATTATTATTATTGTTATTATTATTTATATTAATATTATTAATGATATTATTATTGGTATAAATTGTTATATATGAGCTTTGTCATATATTTTTTTTATATGTCATATATATTTTATTATATTAGCTTTGTCTTATCTTGTTATTTTAATTTGTGATTATTACCATTAGTATTTTCCTCATAAATATTCTGTATTTACTTAATATTAGTTAATTTACTGTTTGTGAATAATTGTGAAAGTAAGACCTTTATTCAGAATATATATTATTGATTGACTGTATTGATATGACTGTACCTTATATCTTTGCCACAATGTACTACAATTATTGACATTTAAAAATAAAAATAAACAGTGTTGAAAGATCAATGTTATTAAATAACATAATTATCACATTGCATGGAAAAGTAAAAAAAAGTAAAAACAGCATCTAAAAGTTTTTGTTCCCTTGGCTACCAGTTTTTGGCAATTTATTAAACTATTTAGTAAGCCCATAACATTATTAAATTATTTTAAGCCCATAACATTTATAGCAATTATGAAATTTAACCTTTAATTTTATTATTAACCGTTTCTCTTCTTTTTGCTGTTGTTATTGTTGCAAGATTCAATGTACTTATCCTTTTTAGTAGGTAAAACTTTAATTTTACACAATGTCTCAGCATTCAGAAAAAGATTGTATTGACGCTAGCACAACAAATATTGGTCTTTGCACATCTCCTTTAAATAAATTTATATGGAATATGGCTAACACAAGAGTATTATTAGATTTTTGGAAAGATAATTTCAAAGCATTAACATCTGCAAGAAGAAACACAAATATTTACAAACAAATGGCAGCTGAATTTTCAAACACATTTAATATCGTACCTCCGTTAACTGGATATCAAATTCAATCTAAAATTAGTAATTTGAGGAAACAATTTAGGTATGTTACATACCTAAATTGTACATACTATGTACATATTCTACATTTAATGTTTGATACCTTACTGAAATACTGAAAGTATTTTACAAAACTAACACTGTGTAATAATATTTAATTGTAATTTAGTTTGTAACTGAGTGTTATATTAAAAATTACTTCAATCTTATTCAGTATTGAAGATTTACAGCTCGTTGATAATTATTTTGTTAATAATTCGTTATTTTATTATTCGTTAATAATTCGTTAATTTTGTTAATAATTATTTCGTTAATAATAATTTGTCCATTTAAAGTTACTTGATTAATGTTATACGGTGTTAATGATGTGCTTATATTTACTTATATTTATGTATATTTTTCATAGACGAGAAAAACTTCAAGTTGATTCATCGGGAGGAGCTCCTAGTAAATGATGGCCTTACGATATTGTTGCCAAAATAATAGGTAGTGAAGCTTCCCTTGATAATGACCTTTTATCTCAAAGTCAAAACTTTTCTACTCAAGATTTTCAAGATGGTCAGGTAAGTTTAGTATAATTTATTGTTGTATATTTTAAAGTGCTATATATTTTTTAAAGTAATATAAACAAGCATGTTAACTATTTCTACAAAATAAGGTTTAAGAGGTTCTTAGTTTTGCAACATTTAGCAGACTTAAAACATAAAGATCAAAAACATATAATATAAAGTTTTTGAATTGTAAAAGGGATCTTTTAATATTGGCTAGATCAATTTGTAAAATGCTATTGTCTAAATAGATACTTTTTGTTTAGGGAAGGAAGGGAGTAAAATGACTTCAAGTCAAGTCTTTTAAAGTCAAAAGATAAATTTTGATTGAAACATGATTTATAATCATTTCTCAAATGTGTAATTTTTTTAATGTGTATATTTTATTTACAGGTTGCAGAATGGAAGATGGCAAGGAGACAGTATTTTAATTATTGAAGCTTTTGATGATGCAAATGATGAGCAATCAATTGTCACTATTCCTGATGAGGAACCAACTCGATCTACATCAGGCTGCAATAAACGAAGGAACTCTGATCATGAAAAAACTTTGAATAAAATAGCAAAAACTGAACCGGTGAGAAAAAATAAAAAAACAAATTTTTCTTCTGATTATTTAAAAATAGCAAATAAAAATCTAGATGTGCAAATCCGTTCACAAGAGCTACGAATCAGAGAGGTTGTTGCTTTAGAGCGTATTTGCGATGGAATTGAAAATTCATCTAAAGCCCAAGTAGATGTGTCTAAAGCCCAAGTAGAATATTATAAATTTTTAATAAAAAAATAAGGTGTTTTATTACTCAAGATATCTTTTTAGTAATTATGTTAAAGTCAGTAAAGTCAGTTTTTAGTAATTATGTTAAGGTCAGTATTTTTTCAACAGTATACCTTGTTTACAGTTCTATGCAATATATATTTCATAAGGTTTTTCAATGTTTTAACTAAAGAGATGGCTAGTGAAATATTGTACAAGCTTTTAGATGAAGCTCTACTTATATATATTTTTTCATGTTACCATATTACTATTATCAAAGGAATTTTTACTTTTTTTTATGTAAAATAAAAATATTTTGTGATTTCAAGCATTAAAATGCATATCTGGTGGTATTTTTTAAATTTGTCATGTTATTTTATAAACACCTTTTTTTGTATCTCTATGTTATATATATTTAGTATTTTTACCAAATAATTTTATTTTGCGGTATGAAGCAAGCCTGTAGATGAATTATAGTGATATGTTTTTTGCCAACGTGTTTTGTTTTTAATTTATACAAATTGCATTACATGTTTCATTTTTGTTTTTGTTAACAGATCATGCTGTATCAATTCTAACAAAATAGTTTTTAAAAATGTGTTTTAATTTCCCTTGAATTGTAATATAATAAGTAATATATTTATTTAATATATTTATATAGTTTTAATAGCATTTTAGGGAGACATCTGTAAAGGAAAAAGCTATTGGAAAAACATGGAAAGCGTTTTGGCCGTACTTTGATCAAAAAGTAGAACATTAATCAATGATGAATCAATCACCCACCCATTTTCATATTTAGATTTAGCTTCCTTTAAGTTAAATCAACAAGTATCTGATTGAAAGAAAAGTTTGGGTTAGACCGAAAAGTTCTCAATGGTTTAATGAGATTTTTACTCAAATGGAGGAATGTGAATTTAAAGAGCATTTTCGAGTAAATCGTAACACATTTAATT